GAGGGTTGGACTGCGATTGGTAGGTGAGCTCGTTAAAGCTCCTCCAACTAGAAGCGTGTACACGCTCAGATCTGTCAGGTAAAATTTCCAGCATGCCTACCACACCGGAAACCTCTGCCCGTCGTACTGTTAGAAATGTAACTTAGAAGGAGTTTGACGAGTTGCAAGCCAGGGCGGCTACAGTTACGACACTGCAGGCCCAGCTTGAACAACACGCCGATAAGTTCGAGTCGCTGGGAAGCGAAGTACAGACGCTGCGCATCGAAAACTCGTCACTTCGCCAGACGCGGGGTGAAACGCGATAGGGGCGGCCTATTACCCGAGACGAAGATGCTGCGAGCGAAGCGAGGGTGTCGGCCACACCTGAAGCAGTTGAAGAAAGTCCACAATGAGCCACGGGCGGCCATTAAAATCAAACCTCCGATACCACCGCCGTTCAACCCGACCGAAAGAACAACTACAGTGAGCGGTTGGCTGTCCGTCATGGAAATCTTCTTCACAGCAGCAAGTATTAATGACAACGCATCACGTGTCAACTTGGCTGTGTCGCTGCTGAGGGGACCGGCACTCGACTGGTGGTGCATGCATTTGGACTAGAGAGGAGCCCCAGCAGGGAATCAACGGGCGGTCGATGGGGAGCACGGTCCATCAATGGCTCAGGCAGAACCGATCTTTGGGCTGGCCACGATCCGCACGTGGAAAGCGTGGGGCAAAGCATTGAAGAGCCGATTCGAGCACATACATTGACGAAAATAATTGTCCAGATGTTTTGCATTAATTAGGGTTTTTGGGCTTTCCGACCGCTGTACATAAAGTCTCAATGTTTAATGGTAGTACGCTTTGGGAGGGGCACATATTGGATGTGTTCACAGCACTAAAATCCATGATAGTACACAGGATCTAACTTAGTGCCAAAAGATATGCAAAGAGTGCATCCGGACAATTGTTTCCCAGGACAAAGAGCAAACTTCCAAGCAACATTTCTAGTACCTAGTCAACCGACACTTGGCCTTGATCACCACCCGCACCCTCCTAGGTATGTTATCTACAAGGTTAGTGCAAACCTTTACAACGATCTTCTCGCACTCTTCCTGGACCCACGCTTTTGCATAAGGGGTTGAGCACTAGGAAAATCGCGAAGGATTTGAGCATATGCAAGAGTATTGTGCACGATTTCATATTCAATGTTATCTCTAAGACTAGCCACGCTGAGGTGTGGCCAAAGATGCCATAAGTCGATTGGTCCCGTCTTATCATGGATCGTCTTTGTCGTACCGTTGTAGGTAAGAATTACGAGCAGAGTGGCGAAAACTAGCGTATCTGTCACGAAACTTAGGGTAACATAGCACAGTCGACTGTGCATCCTTCCACTATTACAATCGCGCTAGGATCCGTAGGTCCCGTCACGGTGCAGCAGTCGAAGAAGTCGCGACTATTTTGAAAGAATATTCGGATTGAGATCTGGTGAAGAAAAGGGTCATTCCAGCGTAACATACTCATGTTCTCCAAGCCATTCTAAGCCATGTGTCCCGCCTAGGCTTGGAATGGCTTGGAGAGCATGAGTTTGTAGCACTGGAGTGACCCCCTTCCTCACCAGACCTGAACCCGGATATTTTTCCCCACCAGTCGGGGCTTCTTTGACTGCTGCACCGTGACGAGACCTGTAGATTTTAACGTGATTCTATTCGTGAATGGGTGCACAGTCGACCGTGCTATGTTACTCTAAGTTTTGCGGCGGACACGCTAGTTTTCGCCACTCTGCTCGTAATTTCACCCTACAACAGTATGACGAAGACAATTCATGATAAGATGGGACTAATGGACTTATGACATCTTTGGCCACACCTCAGCATGGCTAGTCTCAGAGATAACATTTAATATGAAATCGTGCACAGTACTCTTGGATACGTTCAAATACTTCGCGATTTTCTTTGTGCTCACCAACTTATGCAAAAGGGTGGGTCCAGGAAGAGTGTGATAAGATCCCTGTAAAGGTTTGCACCAACCTCGTAGATAACATGCCTAGGAGGGTGCTGGTGGTTATCAAGGCCAAGTGTTGGTGGACTAGGTACTAGAAATGCTGCTCGAAAGTTTGCTCTTTGTCCTAGGAAATAATTGTCCGGATGTACTCTTTGAATACCTTTTGGCGCTAAGTTAGATTCAGTGTACTATTATGGAATTTAGCACTGTGAACACATCTATATGTGCCCCTCCCAAAGCGTACCACCATTAAATATTAAGACTTTATGTACACTACTCGGAAAGCTAAAAAGCCGTAAATAATGCAAAACATCCGGACAATTGTTTCCGTCACTGTATCCATGCGCGAAATTGCTCGCACAAGGCTTCGGATGTGGAGACAGTTGGGCTCTGTTCAAGAATACACAACTTCGTTCTTGGCGTTATGCAATCAAATCGGAGGGCTTAGTGAAGATGAGAAGATCGATCGCTACGTGGGTGGTCTCAAGCTAAAGATTTAGCAAGAGATCGTCCTGCGAGCCCTGGCAACATTCAGTGAAATCGTCCGAATCGCGAATGCGCTGGACGCAAGGCGTGGACTCGCGAGGGCGGGTTTCCTGGAGGGAAATTGCTTTCGAGGCCAGCCCCAACACACATCAATCAACGGCGTGGACGTGTTTGCAGCCCGGGTATTTTCTGGATGTTGTTTCCACTGCAACCAGCCGGGCCACATGGTGAGGGACTGCCCGCAACTGAAGAAGAACTTAGCTAACAATGGGAAGCAGTCGGGAAATGGAGATCGTTAGTAGCACACGGGCCACCTACTGACTTGACTACGTCGCCCAAACGCCAACACCCCCACTAGGTTATAGTGCCGATTTGGGCTATCGACCATTCCTGGCTGAATAAGGGGGGTGAACTAGTGGATCATCCTGTGCTGTTTGAAGGAAGAGTTGGCGACACCTGCATCAAAATATTTGTTGATGTTGGGGCAAGCCACAGTTTGATTGATGTGAAAAAAACGAAGAAACTCCAATTGCAGCTGGAACGCTGCATGCCCGAATCGACGCGAGGTTAGTTGACGACACCCCACTGGCGATTCGGGAGTGCGTGCCTCACGTGCGAGTCACCTGTGGCAAAAATTTCAGTTTCACGATGAAGATGCTGGTGACAATTTTGGACGGTTGCGACATTCTGCTGGGACGAGATTGGCTGCGCGAATGCAACCCGAGCATCTACTAGCGGACGGGCCTCATCGACCTCATCGACCAACTTCGCGGGGCCAGATTTTTCTCGAAGATTGACCTGCGAGGCAATTACCACCAACTTCGCGTGCACGAAGCTGACTGATACAAGACGGCGTTTCGAACCCGGTACGGGAGTTACAAGTACACGGTCATGCCCCTCGGTTTAACAAAAGCGCCTTTGACATTCCAGTTGACCATGAACGAGATTTTTCGGCCACTGCTGGATAAGTGCGTCATCGTGTACCTCGACGACATTCTCGTCTACAGCACAATCCGTGATCAGCATTTAAAGGATTTGGAAGCAGTTTTCTCTCTCCTGCAGCAGAACCGACTCATCACCAAGGGATCTAAGTGCGAGTTTTTGAAACACGAACAGGAGTTTTTGGGTCACCTGATTTCCATCGACGGTGTTAAGATCGACCTCAAGAAAATTGTGACAATCCAAGACCGGAAGCCGCCGGCTAGTCTACGCGAACTTCAGAGTTTTCAGAGGTTTATTAATTACGTCCGATGTTTCATTCCGAACACGGCAGGGGTAACTTCCCCTCTCACGGATCTCCTGAAGAAGGGCACGTATTTTTAGAGGGGGGGAAAGCAACAGACTGCGTTCACAAAGCTCAAAGTTTTCCTGACTACACCACCGGTTGTTCGGATTGCAGATCCTCATTGCTCATTCGAGCTCATCACCAACGCTAGCGATCTGGCCGTTGGCGCAGTCCTGTTACAAGACTTCGGCAAAGGCCTACAACCGATCGCCCACGAGTTACGGAAGCTGAAACCGGCCGAGCGAAATTTTCTTGTCCATGACAAGGAGTTACTCGCCATTGTTCACGCTTTCAAAGTCTGACGCTGCTATCTGACGGGCGCTGATGTAACAGTCCGAACATACCACAAGTCGCTATAGTTCAGCCGCGCCCAACCGACACTGAATCCCCAACAGATTCGCTTGCTCGACTACCTCGAGTCCAATTTCCACTACAGGGTCACCTACAAACGAGAGGTCAGCAACATCGCCGACTCACTGACTCGCCCCTCGGTCTACACCGCCGTAGTCCTAATTACCCAAGTTAATCTGCTGCTAACTGGCCTATTCACCCACGGATACAATACTGACCCACTCTTCACCACTACAGTCATCCCCAACTGACGATCAAGCAAGGGGCCTATGATCTAAAATCCGGTACCAGTCGGATTTGGGTTCCCACCTACCATACCCTACGGGAATTACTGATCCAGGAGGCACATGACTCGAATTTCTCGGTTCACTACGGCATTGACAAAACTGCAAAATTACTGAGAAGTAACTATTACTGGCCCTACCGACAGACGTGCAGTAGTACGTCACCTCCTGCGCCACGTGTCAACGCCTGAAGTCTTCCCGACTTCGATTTGCTGGATTGCTGCGGCCGCTCGAGCCACCCAGCCGACCCTGGCAACAAGTGACGATGAACTTCGTCACTGGCCTGCCAGCTGGTTCAAGCGGTAACGACGCGATCCTCGTCGTCGTTGACCGGTTGACCGAAATGGCCCATTTAGGCCCTCATTTATATCGACACTCTTGAATCACGACTCCTTTATTACACTATATGTTATTACTCTGATTAATTCATAACAGAGCCCATCAAAGGGACCGCAATTCCAAAGCAGAAACACTCAACATTCGTGGAAAAAGAAGGGCTAGAAATAGGTTTGGTCGGTCAAATTGGTTCTCCAACGTTTTTGGGATGCTAATTATTATGAACGTAAGGCTTTCTGGCTGTCATGCCAAACTTAGCGTATGGCTGTGTGTGAAGCTGGTGCGCGAAGTGTTTCAGTTATTTCTTCTTCTCCTTCTTCTTCTTCTTCTTCTTCTTCTTCTTCTTCTTCTTCTTCTTCTTCTTCTTCTTCTTCTTCTTCTTCTTCTTCTTCTTCTTCTTCTTCTTCTTCTTCTTCTTCTTCTTCTTCTTCTTCTTCTTCTTCTTCTTCTTCTTCTTCTTCTTCTTCTTCTTCGCCTTCTTCTTCTCCTTCTTCTCCTTCTTCTTCTCCTTCTTCTTCTTCTTCTTCTTCTTCTTCTTCTTCTTCTTCTTCTTCTTCTTCTTCTTCTTCTTCTTCTTCTTCTTCTTCTTCTTCTTCTTCTTCTTCTTCTTCTTCTTCTTCTTCTTCTTCTTCTTCTTCTTCTTCTTCTTCTTCTTCTTCTTCTTCTTCTTCTTCTTCTTCTTCTTCTTCTTCTTCTTCGCCTTCTTCTTCTCCTTCTTCTCCTTCTTCTTCTTCTTCTTCTTCTTCTTCTTCTTCTTCTTTTCTTCTTCTTCTTCTTCTTCTTCTTCTTCTTCTTTTCTTCTTCTTCTTCTTCTTCTTCTTCTTCTTCTTCTTCTTCTTCTTCTTCTTTCTTCTTCTTCTTCTTCTTCTTCTTCTTCTTCTTCTTCTTCTCTTCTTCTTCTTCTTCTTCTACTTTTCATTTCTTGTGTTGAAAGGAGTTTAGAAGCTAGGTAGCCATGAAAGGGCAAGAGGTTTTAGCTAGGGAGAAATGTTACGAGATAAAAGAGAGATAGACTAGACAAGAGAGAGAGAGGGAGAGAGAGAGAGAGAGAGAGAGAGAGAGAGAGAGAGAGAGAGAGAGAGAGAGAGAGAGAGAGAGAGAGAGAGAAAGAGAGAGAGAGAGAGAGAGAGAGAGAGAGAGAGAGAAAGAGAGAGAGAGAGAGAGAGAGAGAGAGAGAGAGAGAGAGAGAGAGAGAGAGAGAGAGAGAGAGAGAGAGAGAGAGATACAAGGAAGGTTTTGTACCCTCTACAGTAAGAGCCAATAATTTTTAGGACACCTAACACCTACCAAGCCTACAAAAATATATATGAATAATATATAAGTTTACACACCCCCTTAAGCTTGGTAGGCGCTAGCACACCACACACGCAACACCCCCAAGCCCTTGCACCCCCATGTCCTGCAACAGGTGTGGCTTCTACCCCTCGTGCGAAGCGGTGACATCGGCGGCGGGTGGCAGCAACGGCGTCAGTGGCGGCTTCTACGACGACGACAGCGGCGGCGGCGGTGGCGGGTGGCGGCGGAGCCAGCTGGACCTGCAGCGGCGGCGGCGGTTGCGACAACGGCGGCGGTGAATGCAAAGCTCGCAGCACCCGGCGGCGGGGCACGGCCCGGCGACGACCTGGAAGGAAGTCATCAGCTGCGGCTGGGATGAGGGGAGGTGCAGGGGAAGGGGCGTGCCTTCAACGAGGAGCCTAGCTGGCGCGCTGGCTGTCGTGCGGGTGTGCTGGCTGGTGCCTAAGATAGGGCGTTGGCCGCAGCCATCCGTGCGCTGGTGCAACCATAGCCATCTATGCGCTGGCGCAGCCGCAGCCATCCGTGTGCGATGGCGCAGCCGCAGCCGTCCGTGCGCTGGCGCAGCCGCAGCTGTCCGTGCTCACAGGCGCAGCCGCAGTTGTCCATGCGCTGGCACAGCCGCAGCCGTCCGTGCGAGCTGGCCGCAGCCATCCGTGCGGTGGTCGCAGCCGTTCGTGCGCTGGCGCATCGAATCCATCGCGGCAGCACGACGACGCCACGACAGCACGACGAGGCCGCCGCAGCAGCGTGACGAGTCCGCAACGGCAGCGCGTGGAGGTCGCCGCGGCAGCGCGGCGAGGCTGCCACAGCTGCTCGACAAGGTCACCGCGGCAGCGCCGCGAGGCCGACACGGCAGCACATGGAGGTCGCCACGGTGGTGCAAAGGTGAAAGGAGAGGAGATACACGGTGGAAGCGCGAGAAGGGGTAGGCTCTGCAGGATCTTCCTGCTTTGATACCATGTTGAAAGGAGTTAAGAAGCTAGGTAGCCATGAGAGGGCGAGAGGTTTTAGCTAGGGAGAAAATTTACAAGAGAAAAGAGAGATAGACTAGACAAGAGAGAGATACAAGAAAGGCGTTGTACCCTCTACAAGAAGATCCAGTGATTTGTAGGACACCTTACACTTACCAAGCCTACACAAATACATATGAACAATATATAAATTGACATCTTGGGCCTGCCCAGCTTGACAATGTAAGAGTGGCAAGGGAGTGGGCTGAAGGGCCTAAACCACTCGTTTGTGGTTTGGCGAGAGGAAGGGGAGTGTGCTGCAATTTGCCAGGTAGCCCTGGGCGGCAAGCTGACGCGCTTCGACTTCGGCATTTGAAGTGCCTTGTGATTCGGGGGACTGATGTTTGGATATTCCCCACCTCGGCGACCTCGTCGCATGCTGATGCCAGAGATTGTACATCTTCGCTTCGAGAGGCTCGGCTGTCGGATGAAGGCTCCACGGAGCTTCCGCATGCCGATTTTGGCTGAAACTCCATTGAAAATATCGCAGGCGAACGGCCCCACGGAGTGGATCATCTGTCTCGCACTGTACGCCTCATTGCACGAACAAGCCATGAAGGAGGTATGGAGAAGAATTCGGGAGGGAGTTGGAACTTGGATTGGAGTTGTCGGTGAATGACGTGTCTCGTTTTATCTAGCATGTGTGATAGCACAGCACGCTCAACAAACACTTTCCCCTAAATAAAGTCTATGTACACTTGTTCTCAGATACAATATAGCATAAACACCTCGCAGATCAATCTGTAGAAGGCAAAACGGATTGAAGCGTAGCATTGTACAGTATCCCGAGGCATGGGCCATGTTCTCTGGGCGCAAAAGTGGCAATTGACTCTGTTCCTGGTGGCCCAAAGCGCAACATGCATAGTAACCTCCATTCTGAACTAGACCGTGGTAAAGACAACAACTAGCCCCGGAACATATTGACAGCGCCAGCTGTAGGCAGTGACAAAGAATATGATGACCAAAACCGTGTCACGTGTATGAAAGAAAAAGTGTTGCAAATCTATTCAAATTTATATTTGTGCCTTGAGAACAGATGAGCTCCTTCCCAAAAGGAGCGCTATACAAGGTGAATTTATTGATAGAAGTATTCCAAAGTCAAAACGGGCAAGAAATTCGTGATATCAAAAAAGTGTAACCCTTTCAGTCCCCTTCTTCACTTCGATTGTGAGTACAAAATTCTTGAGGGTACATTTTGCCGTACAGACATTTCTGTCCCATAACTCTACCCTTTTTATTATAAACTTGGTCACTCAGGAAAACCCACCCAGCGGCACTAGGTGGCAATCGGGTCGAAATTTTGCCGGTGATTCACTCCCATGTGTGATTTTATCAGACTATTTTAGTTTGATTGTCTGAAATTTCATACCTTTTTTTTTTGCCAAACCTGATTTTTCAGACTTGCCAACTTCCGAACACAGAATCATTTAGAGTTACATAATTTTGAGTCCTAAGAATTCCACACTTTGCACTTAGCAGATACTGAGTTCTCTGTGCACATCGCGTACGGACCCTGAGACAGACATACTGCACCTACTTGCTCTCAACGCAAATTTTTATGTACCCCCAGAGTCACTCACACATCCTGCAACCTATAAAATAGGCTAAGTCCTAGCAGCCAGAGACAGTCCCCCAACACACTCAGCAACCCATAAAATTCATTGAAGTCCTTTTCTAGAGACACCCCTCCTACCAACAACCCACGAAAATCGGCTAAGTCTTCCATTTCTAGAAACATTCTTCCCATACCCCTTTCACCTGAATTTTTCCGCCAAGGTTTGTCAGAGGCTGACACAATCCCCTCAACATCCAATCACACACTTACAAGGAACGGTCGCAGAAAGGCTCGCTGCCGATGTAGACAACTTTCGACGTGCTCTACAACGTCGGCATTGCGGCATGTCACAACAAGCTTGGCCTCGGCATTTTGCAGAACGCGAGCACCTCGGAATACGCGTACTAATACTCCGCAGATGAATGAATTTTATGTGACAAAATGAACCTGCCCCCACGAAGTTTTTCACTGTCTCGTCTTCATGCTTGCACACTCGGGTGTGGAGAACTTGGTGGGGGTACTTGAACTTGGGGAATTGAATAGGAATCGGGGTCCCACCTTGAGCCACATCAGATTTCAAAAGGGGTACTGCGAGTACAGGCTCAGTCAATTTAGTCACTTGGGTGATTTCCTCAGTCATTTGGGTATTTTTTCGCCAGCTCGGACACAACGAGCTCTCTACCACTAGCACGCGTAAAGCTACCAAGTTGCGAGTGACCTCTGAAAAACGAGACTTCGACTTAGGCACGCGGACTCTGAATCGACATTCTGAACCCTGGATAATTCAGACCAGTCAACTTTTGGATACTGAGATTTCATAGTAGGTTTTTTTTTTTTAAATGGCCCCTTTGACTCGGGAAAAAAAATGGGGTAAAATCAGAGTGCCCTTTTTTGAAAAAGTCAGCTCTGTTCATTCTACTATTCCCGATAGAAAATTGAGTGTGGTCCGAGAAGGAAACCTCACGAATAAATTTCCCCTCTAGGCTTGGTAAGCGCGCACAGACTCGGCATATCGCATGGGGATCGTCATGCAATTTTTGTTGTGCCGAACACGTTTCCTTCCAGCGTGCTCTAATTCATACTCAGTTGCTAGCGAATAGGGCCATGGTTTCTTTTCAATACGTAGGCTACAAATGGTCAGCACAATGCGCATCTCATTGGTGTTTTATTTTGCGTCAAACTTCTCTAGGGATCACGGTTATCATTTACTACAAGCCCGTTGATTATGCACGATGAATCTTGCAGTACAGTGTGTAGCGACGTCCCAGAGTGAAATAACATAGATTGTTTGCGATAACTTGTATAATAGACTTCATCGAGTGTACTCAACAAATGTAGACTCCATGGTAACCGTTACACCTACAAAATTTCAAGATATCCGAGAAACCTTGACGTAACAACATAATACACCGATCAGACACGTGTTGTGCTGAAAAATTGTGGCATTTTTTGAAAAAGACACACTATGCCTAGCAGGTTGAAGAATCGGGCTATTGTAGAATTCCATCGACAATCCGTACCAGAGAAACACATGGAGTACAATCTTAAGCTGTATATTATCAAAATTGGAGTATATAGAAAGGTGTATTGTTATTGTGGACAGAATTGACGTGCTTATAACACAGATCGGAAAACCGTACACTTCGCTTCGCATGCCAAGAAGACTTAGGGAATGTCCAGAGTGAAGTTCGACATCCAACGACATCCGTTGGGGGATGTCGAGGGATGTCGACCATCGATTCCTTCCGATCTATGGTCGACATCCCTCGATATCTCCCAACGGATGTCGTCGGATGTCGAAAGTCACTTTGGACACCCCCTTAGAGCCTATTTGAACAACTCCTATCTTCAAGCGTATCGTAACAGTCTGTCTTTTGTATAATTTACAGGCCCAATACGGTGCCCCAGGGTTCGAAGCGGTGAAGCAGAAAACCCGTTTCTCAGCATGATGCACCGTACACCACCGCATAAAGGGTATGCCGGACGTAATCTTCGGACCATGGCTTATGCTATCAAGGTAAATTCTCTATCTTCACCTTTTTTTAAGGCTAAAATCTTTGAGTTCCAGGGTCCGATCAAACTTTTCTCATGCTCGTTCAAGGTTGTTTAAGG